AGATGGTCGGGCGTGGACCATGGTTCAAGTTGACAGAGAATGACCCATATATATAATTGATTATATATGCAAAGGTAAAAAGTAGAAAGATATAACAGAGGAAGACGAACTACCTTACTACAAAGAACAAACTAGAGAATAATAATAAAAAAAACTGAAACTAACAAAAATCCATAAGGAGGCATCCATTACATTCAAGTGTGTAAATTTATGTTTTTTATAAGCAATTTTGACAAAGTTTATTGTTAAAAATTTATATTTTGTCCTAGCTTTTTACTTTTCAATTTAGTTTATCTCTATTAATTTTAAATATTTCTTTTTTTCTACCATTGTCTCAAACAATGATTACGTCATCAATATCAACATCACAATTTCTTCCATCATTATCATCACTGACTGAAACACAAATAAAATCCGCATTTTTTCACAATCAGAACAATACTTGTTTTCACAAGCTTAATCAACAACTTGATTCACATTTGAAAAAAATATATATTCATATGAATAGTCAACCGAACGATGAACCTCTATTCATAAAATGGTGTTTGCCATCTGACAATGTGCATCAGAAAATCAACAAAAAAATATTCAACCACTTAATAAAAACGAAGCAAGTTCAACAAAGTTTACTTAGGTATCAACATTTTTGCAAAAACAGACCTTTGCTTTTAAAAATAAGCAACACCAAACACTAACTACATCCTTGAAAAAAAATTGCATCAAGAAAGATTCCTCAAAAACAACCCCTAAACCCAAATCCTCCTATTCAGAAAGGCGTAGTATGGTAGACAGGCATTTTCATTCTGTGGAAAATCATTGAGGTTAAATAAGCTAAATCTAGGTTAAATGCTAAAGCATTGTAAATGCTGACGTTTTTAAAATGCAGCCTTTATTAATTGATTAATACGCTATGTTAAACAAAAAATCATTAATCATTTAAATTACTGTTTTTAGTTTTGAATGATATTATTTTGTAATTTAAACTTAAGAGATTGCTGTAAATTATTTTTTCTTTTTTTTTAACCCTAAATGTAAAAGTTTTAAATTCAGGTTCATCTCATCGTTATTGCCTAATTAAGCCGAACTGAACCGAACCCACACATTACTCATTGTCGAACAGTATACATGACCGAACCGAACCCAAACCAGTGTGGCCGAATCGAACCTGAACTTTAGATCTTACCGAACCGAAACAGAATCGGAACCAAACTTTACAAAAAGGGTTCCATTAGAGCTAAGAATCGCCGTGTGAAGCCGACTCAGTCGGTCACGGGAGTGCCAAGTCAAGTCGAGTGGCGACATGTCAAGCAGCTTCCGACTGTTTTTGTTCCAAGCCGCCACGGCGTTTTTGAGACCAAATTATTTCTATTTTTATAAATTGCCGTTTAATTAAATTTATAGTCTTTGCTTTTATGTATCATAATTGTTTGGTTTGCTGCCTTATTACATTTGACGCCATATTGCGATCGGCTGGTTGTTGGTATTGTTTTACTCTTTTTCAATCCTTCTTATGTTGCAATATTGCTGATTATTTTATTGAAATAATTATTTTAAAATTTAAGTTTCAACCTATTTTGATTTACACATTTACATTAAAAAAAATATTTTTAAGTTCTTTGCTTTAATTTTAAGACTTGCAAAAATAATTGTGCCACTTTGTTATATATAGTGTCAAATTATCTCTATTAAGTGACTTTATAGAGCTAATGTTGCATCTTTCATTCATAACTATCTTTTCCCAATCATTCAAACAGATACGTAACGTTGCAAACGATTTTAATTTTGATGATAACAATATATATTTAATTAATTAAATGGTTGTAAATAAAATTTTTTCCAGTTAAAGTATGCGTCATATGTGTCAAGGTGGGAGCAGCTGAACTTTTTTAGGTACACCTCCGCAAGATAGTCTGTCATGAAAGTAGATTCGAAATTTAAGTTGTGATTTGTCAAGTCAAGTTGAGTCATGAATGTTGAGTCACGCTGCCAAGTCAGTTGCCACAGGGTAAGCCAAGCCATAAATTGCAATAGAGAGTTGACCTTTGGCTCTAGGTTCGATTCCCATCTCCAGTTCTTTTGCTGTTTTAAATTGGTTTTCTTGGCTTAATTTTAGTTTGTAAAAAAATGATAAATATTTGTCCTTTTCCTGAGTAGTTCAAGTAAGTTAATTTTAATTTATATATCTACTGACAATTTTTATAATACTTTTTTTACCATTTACTTTTCTTAACACAAAAACACATTTAAAACAAAATTAAAACAATGCATAAAAACTAACAACTCCCCTAATAAATTTTTTACAATATTTTAGCATCACAATCATTTACAATTTGGAATTAGGAAGTTAGAATGATATTTGACAATATTAATAACTTTAAAAAAGTTGTACAGACCAAAATATATATATATATATATATATATATATATATATATAACCAATCTTTGAATATAGTAAAAATCTAGTATTGCATGTATCCTTTTCTGTAAAACCCTTTATTTATTTTTTCCTCAAATTCATTGTTCACGTTAGCACTATCAAAAACAACTTCAACCCCTAGTAGAGATGCCACGTAGAGAACTTTATCATCACAGTTGCTAAAAATCTTTAAAATCACTTTTTCTGGGACTTTGGTGTAATTTTTCAAATCAATCGACACAATTTTACTATACGAATTTTGTATTAGGTCGTTAATTCCTAAACTGGTATTAGTTTCAATAAAAGTCCAAATTGGTTCTGAACAACCTGTCGTTAAATTTTTTAATTTTGTTGAACAAAGATTTAAAATGTTTGAATTTTTTTCTTCTTCTGTTCCGTAAGCACATTTATAACCTCGAATTTTTCTTATCGATTTTGGCACTAAAGGATTTAAGAGAAAACTGTTCTCCCTGTAGCTAAATTGTTTATTCAATTCTTTAACATATATCCAATGTATTATGGAACACTCGTAGGGATTTTTCGGTCCATGGCAATGAAATCTTTTTGGGAAAGAAATATATGTTAATGATGTTAATGACAATTAATAGGCAATTTATATATTAAAGTATGTTAAAAGAAAAATATTAGCCGATAAAAATATTTTGGAACCTAATAACCTTGGGATAATTAAGGTTCTGTTGAGCATCTGAGCTAAAGCGAACCCGGTTTTTAATGCATTTAGTTCTGCTTTGTCTGTTGAGTAATTGTTAGGTGGATTGTTAAGAAAAGGATTGTTGTATAACAAATACTTTCTTTTCTCATCCGAGTAGTATCTATCTTTATCCACGGCCCATAAAAGAGCTTCCTTGAAACGATAAACTTTGGCATCCATGGTTTTTATCCAGTTGTTGTGCATCACTAAACACGAAGGACAGTTGTTGGAGCCGTTTTGAGTTGGGAAATTTCGATCGACTTCTTCAAAATAGTTCTTGCCACTTAAAAATCTAAACATTTTAAAAACAAACTTAATTTTGCGGTTTAATTTGCAAAATACTTTTGTTCTGTTTGGCTATATATATACATAAAAAAAATTATAATCTTATTGAACCTTGGTAGCGGTTGTTATAAAAATAAGTCATAAAAGTCAACCAATAAATAAAACCACAAGGTGAACCATAAAGTACCAGCTACTTGGTACTTCACTGTCGCAAAACATAACAAAAGATTAACAACAAATAACGCAAACTGAGTCGTTTGATGCAACAATTGCGATAAAATAACTTAAAGATGTTTCAAGTGCTAAAAAACAGAATGGTATAAACAAAAATATTATTCAGTTAAACCAATAAAACATTTAATTTTATAAACATCAAAGACAAATTTTAACTTCGATTTTTCTAAAATGCCAATTTGAACAATTTCAGGATTATCTTTGTATTTGGTCCTCAAAGATTTAATTGCCATATTGAGAGCTTTTTGGTCGTCTAGTGAGTCTGACTTGTTTGTTATTTCCTGCATGGTCATGTACAATTCAATCGAAAATTTTGAGGGTTTGATGACCAAAAAACCAGAATTGTATTCATGATAATCCCAAAGGACAGCCATATTTGAATTTTTTAGAATCTGTTGCTGTTAGATGCAGAAATATTCATGGCGTGGATAAAGGTATATCATTTAAATGTGTTTTATTTATAAATTTAAAATAATGTATAAAACGCAAATAATCACTTCAATATAAGGCATTGGATTATTCAAAAACATGACATCTACGTCCGTATGAAGAACAACATAATTTGCTTTCAATGCTTCAATGATCATGTCAGTCCTAATATTAACTTTCAATGCAAATTGTCTTGATCCATAAGCCATAGATTCGTTGGAATTGGATGCTTCAGTGAAATAATAACACTGAATATTGAGATTCAACAGGTTCTGGCAAGCAATTTTTCCAACTCCGACAAAAAGAAAGTTTGTGATGCCAAATTTTTGGAAACTCGTTAAGTAAAGATTGAGAGCCATATCAAAAAACGCATTGTCAGTCAGTGCTAAAATAATGAATCTCTGATCGGTTTCATTGTCAAATTTCTTTGGAACTGGTACAATTTATATTTTGTGCTATTTAAAACAAATATTTTATGCCGTCGCGGAAATATCTTGAAAACTATCAAAGACCTCATTTACAATGAAAATAGCTTTAAGAGATAAATGAATAACAGCTGCAAAAACGAACTAACTTGTTTTAGCGTATTTGGATATGGCTTTGATGAAAGCGTTGTCGTTTTCTTTTTCATGATGTTTTGAGTAGAAACTCTTAATTTGTGAAGAGTAAGAATAATCGTCTTCACTAAATTGTTTATTTGAAACATCAAAGTTTTCGTTAACGTAATCTAACAAGGTGATGCAGAGCAATGTCAAAGCTCCGAAGTACAAAATTTTGTAGGATAAAAATTTCCTGGTGCATATTAACATGTTTGGTGCAGTCTTTTTTTGAAACTAACTGGAAATATGAATTGTTGTAAGAAATTTTATAGAAAAAAAATAAATTAAAAATAAACTCAAATTTCGAGAAAAATTAATTTTAAACGTAATTAAGTATTAGATACATACATATATTTTATGATGTGTATATAAATATATGAATATATATTGAACATGTATATATTCATTTATATATACATATTCATATATATACAATACAATAAAATATACAATATTTTTTTATTCGACCTCAAAGAATATATATATATGTGTATGTGTTGGTAATAGACCATAATTTTTACAATATTCTATAAATTCTACCGAATGTTTGGCGTA